GTGCTTCAGTCTAGCGCTACTGATGAGACATATGACAGGTCGAAAAACTTTGTCTAGTGTTGGAACACGTACGAACGCTTCCTATTTATAATGGGTTCTTGTATGGAAGTTTTCGTAAGAGAAGATTTTCATGCTTACTTATGCTCAGGCTTATCCTTCAGGGACAGTTGATAGACAATGTATTTGTGCTTCAGTCTAGCGCTACTGATGAGACATATGACAGGTCGAAAAAACTTTGTCTAGTGTTGGAACACGTACGAACGCTCTTGTTTTGGGGCTTTATATGATCCAATCCACTAATATCAAAGATAAATGAGGATTCTCAAAGAAGCTCGTTGCAAAGTCAAGCTTCGACATCGACCGTCGAATGAGATTCGCCCTCTGTTTTCCACTGCAACTTTCTCTTAAGGTAACCAGTTGAGATCATAAAACAAAAAATTATTGGTGATCCAACAACAAACCGCTATTTTCGAAGATTGTGGACGAATCTCTCGTTCAGCAGTCGCATTCGTAGCTTGGTTTGCAAAGGTTTGCTTTAGGGAGCTTCGTTCATCTTTGATATTTGTGAAATATTTTTTCGATTCCATAGAATTGTAAGGGGAGATACAGACTTTAGGCATTTGAGTCCAACAGTACATTGGTGGTTCACCCCAACACCACTGATGATACCTATGCTGAGTCGAAACGGCGCTGTCTGGTGTTGGATCACGATCGCTCTGTTTTTGGACTTTGGTTCCAACGTATTGTCTTGTATTTGGAGCTGAGACTGAATCGTTACTGAGACTTCGAGATTTAACCTTCCTTTTCACAGTCGACGCACATATCAATGATGCCACAGTAGCAGACGAAACGTTTGGTACGTCAAGTTACATTCGACCACCTTCTACCAGCCCGGGTTTGTTTTCTCTAAAGGTAACTCCGATCGTGAAAGCCTATGTTCTTATATTCAACTGGTATTTTGTATGTACCTTATTGTTTGAATAATTGAAAAACCTGATTTAATCGTCATATCAGATTCGTTAGTCCGATCAACTATTATACTAAATGAATATTGAAAATACATAAATCTTATTTAAGTATTAGAAAATATCTGTGTTCAATTGAATATATTTCAAATTCATGCAAATAAAACAGGAGTATGGAAAATGTACTACATGGAAATTATAATTATAACTATTCAAAAACAGAAAGGAAGAATAGCTTTGAGATTTAGTATTTAGGTTAAATACCAGGTTAAATAAGAAGTGTTGACCTTAATTTTCTTTTCATGACGAGCTCACTTAGTGTACAAATTGCTCTGAAAGACTCGTCCTGCAAGCTAGCATTGTTAAAAATAATCTCAATTGTAGTCGAAAAAGTATACTACAACTTTTTACAATGGTCTACTCAATGTTTTATGTTTGTAAAATGTTTCTTTGATATTCTGTTGATTTTCAATGCAATTTGGAGAGTTTTTCACAAGATTTTCTATTTGAGTAGACAGACCAATCCATCAAACACTCATTCTAGCACGCCTAAGTGATATGTTTTACGTTTTTAGGAATTATTGATAGCATTTTTTTAATACTAGATTCTCTGAATAGGAAATATCGTATCTATAATATTCTGCACAGTTCAATTGGCAATTTAGATTTTTCTGGCCAAAACAGAATATGATATTTAATTTCTTAGACAAGTAATTTTTCTTCTCTAAGTTTTATTGTTTGCTTAAAACAACGATAAAAATAAAAACAACAATAAAAATTAATTGGCGTTCCGGGGCGAATTCATTGATTCCAGTGGCGCATTTGCTTTTTCAGCTGCAGGAAAACCCGGAAAAACCTGCAGCACCACATGAAGAACTTGAACTACCAATGTCCTCTCTCTCTCTCTCATAAAACAAAATGTAGGGTGTCTCCAGAGGTTCCAATAGATTCAATACATCGCCAGAACACTTAGTGATACGACTATCGTCAAACTTACACCAGGCCGTTTCGTATTTGACCAAGGCGTAATAATGACCAAATTCAACGCCAGAACGACAGAGAACAATGACTGCATGAATATTATAATGGTGGTCTGCTAGATTGAAATGTTCATCTATTTCGAACCTTCCAAAGAGTTTCTTGCTTCCGTCAGAGGTTGAGTCTTGTTTGAAGATCATCAGTGTTATTATTAGATTGACTGGTGCCTCAGCTATACTTGTTTCCTTATAACATCAATTAGTTTGGCGCATGTTTGGCATGTTTTTAAGTACCGCTCAGTAGAGTAACACTCTTTAGTGTTCCTTGAATTGCTGTAAAACATCATCGAACTTATGTTTTTTGATAGGTTCACCACTCGAAGTAGCTGGTATAATTTGTTTTCTCGGTATGTCCCATACAACACAATATTTATACCTCAATAAACGCATTCTAAATATTTGTAATCTAGATGTCAAAAATTTTAAATTCTTGATTTGAAAGGGTTATATTTTTAGGAGTGATTAATTTTTGGGAAAGTTTTTTGGCTTTCTACTACTCCATCTGATACAAAAAAATGGATGAGAGAATCTTCCAAAGAAAGGAAGGAAGTAATCAATTTGAAAATAAGTAACTCTATACATGGATGTGTAGATCATGCAAAGAAGTAACTTTCAGACACAAACTGAAAGAAAGCCCTCCTGAAACAGCTACTTTCATATAAACATTGGATTACACGAAAGAAAAAAATTCTTTCGAAACAAATACTTCTATATGAACACTGAATTATACAGAAGATACTTTTCTCTATTCAGTTTGTATATCGAACATTTGTTGAGGAATAAGAATCAGATATCATTCACATGAGTTCTACTTTGAATGAATGGTAATAAATTGTACTCACATGGAACATTGTCACCCTAACTGGTATACACCGTGTTTCGCCTTAAGACACTTGCCCTAAGGCTCTTCAGTACCAAATTGGATAACATTATAGAAAATACACACACTTCATTCATGAATTACGATTTTGAATGTCACGGAATAAGCTTGATCTGCTTATGTCATCGATGACATCGTAATGACATTCATTCACCTATTTATTTAATTACTTCTTTGCATGATCTACACATCCATGTATAGAGTTACTTATTTTCAAATTGATTACTTCCTTCCTTTCTTTGGAAGATTCTCTCATCCATTTTTTTTGTATCAGATGGAGTAGTAGAAAGCCAAAAACTTTCTTTCCCAAAAATTTAAATTCTTATTCTATAGGATATGTATCATGAGCTTATGATCTGTTTCTTACCCCTGAAACATAATCTCGCGTTTCCGCATGGCTTGATAATCTTGACCCCAAATTCACTATTTTTCGATATGTATTTTTGTTTTCTTGCTTAAGGCAACGACCCGACCTAAATGAGCTCGCATCTGTGCTAGCAGTAGCCGTCTTTTTTTGGGTCAATGTAATACCTTGCAAATTTAATTTTGACAAAATTCTATTCAAGATCTCATCATGTTTTTTTATGCTGCTTGCGTGGATCAATATATCGTTCATATTTATAAATTACTCCTTCGAGCCCAGTCGGAATTTCAATGAAATTTGGAGGAAAATATTCTGGCACACAGGATATTCCAGAAGGAAATTTCTTGAAGAAAAATCTACCATATGATGAAATGAAAGTTGTTGAAAGCTGACCTTTATTCAACTTAATTTGATAATATCCACTAGTTGCATGTATTTTTGAAGAATATATCAAACCACTTAGCTGTGCTAGAGTGTGCTATCTTTTGGTAATGGAAAGTGAAAACGAAGGGCACTTTTGTTCAGGTAGTTGGATTCTCATTCGATTCAATCATGTCCAACTTTAGTGAGCGGCCTAAGTCTCCTCTTAACTTTGGAAGCAAAGCTGAATAATCGGTCCGAGGTACTGATTGTACAAACGTCAAAGCGTCTGGTTTAATCTCAACTCCACAATGCTTTGAAAGTGTTCTGAAATTACTGTTGAACTATATTTAAACAATATTTGACGACAAACATGTAATCATCGATTATGCAAACATTTTCAATTGGGAAATTCAGAACTTTAAAGCGAATTATACTATTCCTACACAAAATAGGTTACCGTAGCTTCCTAACTACGTGAATAGTATCTTCATTTGTAGCTTCCTCGTATGTCAAATCTATTTCAATTGTACACTGTATTGTAACTTGTGATCGCCTGCTGCTCTCACAGAATCACACGGAATGAACTTATTCCCCCCTGTAACATTTCGTAGGGAAAACACTTGACATCAGCGAAGAATTGAATCATGTGTTTGTGATTAAACAAAATATCTACATACCAACTGTCCTGCCTATCTAGGTATACAGACCTCTCCAGCCGTACAGTGTTCAACTGTATATATAGATTTGTTGTTGCCTCTACTTTATGCGCTTCAGTGCCCCCGTTTGCCACAAGCTCAACAGAAGATATCTTCGCTGGACACTTTTCCCTATCTTTGCTAGTATCCACACTGCAGTAGCCAATTGGACATTTTCTGTATAGGTGTAGATGGATTTCCCTCATTTTTGTACTATGATTTCTTTCTGTTTGCTCCACTTTCGACTAAACAAACAGACTGTTTTTGGCGAAGTATATTATTCTGCGTATTTTGAAACAATGCAGATGCAGTGCTCTGCTAATATATGTAGACTATGTAGACTGGTGATGCAATTTTCCACTGGTTCACTTGTTTGCACTGGAGGGTTGAATTGGTATCTCTAATGCGTACGTTTCGTCACCGCTGAGGTTTTGTTGCAGTAAAATATTATCTGCCTCATTTCACATGTGGAAAAATAAACTTGCTTCATTCATCCACTCTAATAGCAATCATTAGCCTCGTATATGAACCCCTTTTTTGGCGTTCGACATACTCTGTCCTTGTCTATATCAAAAGAAACGGCGAAGACGGTCAAATAAAATTGACCAATATAAAAACCTATTTTTTTGGAAATATTGATATCCCTGAGATGAAGGATTTCTCAAAAATCCAATTAAAAATTATGATATTCTTTAGCTCTACTTGCCCGGTCATTGTCTATATTGAAACAAACGGCGAAGTCACTCAAAATAAAATTGACCAATAAGGAAACTCCATGCTTGACTATCGAAATGGAATTGGTGAGTCAAATCAAATTGTTGGGGCAGTAATATTATTTGTAATATATGTTATATATTTCAGATGGCCGGAGAGATCATAAGTCGACAAGTAGTTCATGATATACCTGTAGAAGTTATTTCCAGAAGACATTGGTCTGATTATGAAGAACCTAGATTCAATGACTTTCATGTAAATATACATCTTTTATTCAGTAATGAACCATATACTCAGTAAGTACAAACTTTGATTATACGATGGTAGAAACAATAAAAAAATATGTTCCGCTAAGGTCGAATTTTTGCAATCATCGCTACAATTATCAAGGCGGGTTACTCTGTGTGAGCATATGTGCGTGTTTGTGTGTGTGCGTGCGTCCGTGCATGCGTACATGTTCAAACTGCTGGAAAGTAATTTCGTGAGAAGGAAAGATAAATAATTGAGTACTATTCTGATCATTCACAATCTGATTTCAACTTGAAAGCCACCGCTAGACAGCTGTTTCTGCCTGTTGGGCATCATCAGTACTGGGCAGGCGGTCCTAGATTGAAGACAAACTGTAAAAAACCAAGATAAATACTCGTTAGAAATCATAATAGTTTTTAAATTGAAAGGGTATATTTTTAGGAGAGACAGATATTGAAATACACAAAAGAAAAATACTTTTATATGAACGCTGAATTAAGCGAAAAACACGTTTCTCTATTCCGTTTGTATTCCAAACATCGAATCGAATAAGATACCTTTAATCTGATTTTATTTCTCCAATAATATGGCTGTAATGTAGCGAGTCTGGTATTGTGTTCGAATTCCGCAGCATTACATTGATACCCTTCTATATTCTGTCCAGCGAACATGATACATCAAATAATATTTAGCTGGCACTGAGATTTTAATTTCTTTGAGAATAGGTCGACAACTGTCTCGCTAATTTGAATTGAAAATAAATGCCAGTAAACGTTTTTGGAACACATAAACTTTTGAGAATTCTCTGTCTCGGTCCCACATTTTACTATAAAGGTCAATATGTATGAATGTTATTTCATTTGTTTGATAGCAAAATAAGCTTTATATTCAAGAAACACTTGCGAGATTTTTCCTAAACAGTTTCACAAAAACGCAACACGTGTTTTTCAGGAGTATCTATACTGTACGACCCAACAGCCTTCAATAATAACTCCGGCTGTGGAAGCCTATGCTGTTATATAGTTCGTTGAAGAGTCGGTCATCCAGAAGCGGGCTGATGTAGGTGCCCATATTATTGTAACATTTTCCCCCGTGTGTTTACCAATAATTGACTTCACTGAACAATAATCAAACTCAACTTTATTTCACTTTCAATACAACCACTTCAACTTAAACTTCAACTATTATTCAAGTGTCTATCGCCTCATTAGATCGCTCCGCGTGCCGCACTGTCACTTCTACTTGGCTGTGTCGATAGGCGAGTGGAGGCGGTTCGGAGACATTTATCTTTCTGTTATTTGTTCCACAGAAAATTGAATTGCATTTTCAGAATTAGTGTATTCAACCTGTGATAGTGTTTTAAATCAATATATTTTCACTAACTGATACAATTTACTTCAAGATTGTCATGATTAGCGTTTTACAATAATCGTTTTACGGTTTGCTACAACATCGGATATTCTGTGGATGTTCAATTCAGGGCGGAATATCCTTGGACATGAAATAGATATCCACAAAAGATACCATAGTGAACTTGGTATGTATATCTTTTGTTGGATATTCTGTGAACATCCATGATATAAAAAATGTACTATATCTTATGAACATCCATAAGATATATTTTACATACCCATCGGATGTAGCGAGCATGGTGATGATGAAATACTGATATTTTTATCAGTATTGCTTAAAAAAAAAGATTTCTCTAATGTTTCAACTATGTTATGTAAATAGTCAACATTCTAAAAGTTTTTTGAAACGGAAAAGTATAATTAGTATTCATCGATGTGAAGTTTTGATAGTACAAATAATATTTTGATTATACTCCCCTCAACTTACAAAATTTTTCAATGTAATTTAAAAAAAAATAAAAAAAAATTCAAATATGAGTACATTTTCTATATTTTCTTTTGTCTGTACCTACTTTTATCTTTATCACTGAATATTTATCTCTATCAATTATAATTGTAGTCGAGTTTTTCATACTACTACTGGTGCTAACGTTTGGGGGAAGTTGTTCGAAATCTAGGACAAATCGAGTTCAAATTGTATGCTATTTTCAAATATTCAGTGAATATTTTTAGATTGATGTTTGATATCATTTTTGTTTTTTCTAAGTTGATTTAATTTAGTTTTTCTTTCATATATCAGCATTTCTGATGGATGTTCATGTGTCTTTTGATTTATCAACTCTGAGGTGATTTTATCTCGTCTCTGCTTTCTGGAATATACGAGAGACATCAAAATATATTTGAGTTTCAGTTTGATTTGCTGCTTTGTTTGGTTCTCTTTTAAGTTTTCTTACAGTAAAAAACTTTCAGAAATTAACATTAGGAAAATCGATTTTTACTATAGTGGGTGCATAATGAAATTTTAAACTTTTATTAAAATAGGACTTGTTTTTACTATGTATATTTTATCTCACTATCATAATATTTTCGTACCCAAATGTTGATTAAAATAAAAACGAATATAGTTGCAGACAAAAAAAATCAACTTATCAAAAATATGTTTCAATTTTTGGGAAAGAAAGTTTTTGGATTTCTACTACTCCATCTTGATATCAAGATAGAAAGCCAAAAACTTTCTTTTCCAAAAATTAATCACTCCTAAAAAATATAACCCCTTCAATTCAAATGTTTCAATTGTGTTAGACATACTGGCAGAAATGGAGGCAAGCGGTAAAATAATAATACACAACTGTTACATTCAAGCATCAGCAAACGACTAACTCTTTATTAAAAGACAAAACACAACGTGTCAAAGAAATAAACTTTGCAGCCAGTGCTGCCATCCGTCATAGTAAAAAATGTTATTCTGAGATATATTCAACAAATTGTCACAGTGTTTCAATTTTTTTATCATGTGTTTCGTCGATAAATTTCATTGTTAATTCTACCTTCAGCTTTTGTAGGTATCAATACAGATGCCAAACTTGAAAGCCTTGAAAAGTATCGTGGAGAAAATGAAGAACATGAGTCACAGTCTTATAGTTAGTGCAAACAAAAATGGAAGACTGACGTTTCAGATTAAAACAAATGTTGTCAGCTTATCTTCCCATTTCACAGATTTGAGCGTTCAGAGTTTTGCTGGTAAGAACGTACTTTCAAATAGTTCATTTCATCATGTATTTTTTAAAAATTTATTTAAGTTGGTCAAATTCCCACATACAACGATGGAGATGAAGATATGAATGCTCAAGTAATACGTTCTACTGTTGATATCAAGAAGTTTTTAATATTCCTCTCTGGCCTACAAATAAATAACTGCCAAACTTTTTGTAGTATAGTTGAAGGAAAAATGGTGAAGTTGAATATGGAACAGCCTGGTGCCCTTTCCATTCAGATATTCCTGGCTGAATTGAATGTATAAGGAAAACATAAAAGTATCAGTGCCACAAATATCAAAAATATAATTCCAGTTGACTGTAAACAGCATTTTAAGATGATTTTTTATTTTTCTTTCTAATTAGCGGACCCGGCGATTTTCGTACCGCCTTGGAATCAATTATTAATGTGTTCAGTTCTGAGCTGACTCAGATGAACAGATTGATACAAAAAACTGTTGAAAATATGTTTCATAGATACATACTATATACGTGGTAATTATTAATATTTAGGGTTATTCAATATTCTTTACAGAAAGTAAACTTAGTAATCAGTAGATTTCAACTTTGAAACAGTAGAACCATGACAGGAGATGTACTGCAAAAACAGTGAATACGGCGTTCCTCTCGTGCGATTTCCTCTTCTCTGTAGTTGATTGATTTGCAATATTCTGCAGACTATTTGTGTATGTATGTATCTTGCTTGCAACATTGTCAATAATACTGTGATAGACATTACATGACTTTGCTTCTTTTAGGACGTAAAAATCATTCATGTGCGCACAATTAAAAATGCCATAACTTCAATTACATTTATGCGCACAATGACAACTGGAATAACACTCAACCACCACATGAGAAAGAGGTTTTTACATGCCTTGATATTGAAGGTATTTGAAATTAAACTGAAATAAAGATATGATGTACTGTTTGGAACCTTTGGAGTAGTAATGAATATGACTGGAGTTATATCCCAACAACCGTTATTTTCAACACCTCGACTCATGTTTTCTCTCTCTTGAAGATGATCACATGGTGACTGAATTATGTGTCAAAGTGTTGAAAATAATGGTTCGCTGTTGGTATAGAACTCCAGTAATATTGAAATAAGGATGTAGATATCTATTAACCTACAACAGTCCTTGGATAAAAAATATTGCGTTACCATAGTGACGAAGAATAACTTATCAGGAGTGTCAGTGTAAATATTCTTTGAAAGACATTTTTTGTGGAGGAGTTGATGTTCTCCGATATTTTTTTGGTATGTAACCTTGCACAATGTGAAAAATAAATATTTATGGATGAACCGAGAATCTGTTCAAGTTTCTAGTTCACCTTTTCAAAAATTACTGCGTAATATAAACCACTGAAGAGTCCAATTAGTCAGTAACTTGCCGTATTTACAAATTTGCACGAAATAAACGAATTGATCAAAACGATACAATTTTTAATACTTTGCTTTTTCAATATCTAAAAACCTCAAGGAATGCCAATATAAATTTTCACGTCAAAAAATCAAGCTAGAGTTGCCAATTAAATTTAAAAAAATGTCAACAGAGATTGTGAAAATTGTAAAGTTGGTATATCAAACTGTCATGAAGTACCTGTATCCGAAGGAGTTATTAAGGTATACTTAATACCCTTGGCGATCAGTGTTTTTCATATACGTCTCTGAAGAATTGGGAATGCAAGCTTCAAAAGAGATGCACTTTGCAATCAAGATGGCCAGTTTCTGAATCCACCTCCGTGATATCATTGCAGCTCATGACATGATTATTTCATTTCTGGTGATTGGTAAAAGCAAGTTTATAAAAAAAAACAAATTTATTCATTCATAGTCCAACTGTATGGTATCGAACAGGTCATTTACACTTAATATAATAATTATCCAAAGTGGATATAATCAAAAAAAATAATATACAATTCGAGATGTGTATGCAGATTTGAAAGAATAAGATTAATAATAAATACGTATACATACAAACATGTAAATATACGTTATATACATATGTCGATATGTTGAACTTTGAGATCATTTCATTAAAATAATGAGAACTATAAATTTACATTTACATTGGTATAGCAATCGCCCCAAACGTGATGGCGAGCAATCGCGCAGGTAAAGACTCTCCCAACTAAATTCCTATTGGATTACGATAAGCCCCTTGCCGGTCAGTGTGGTACCAATAATAAGTTTTAATTGAGGTAGCAAATGGAACATGAGTTCTTTGTAATTTCTTTTCATATTTTATTTAGTATTGTAGGTAGTAGTAGTAGTTTTGTTATGCGACATTTTTTTCGGAAACAACACAAATTATTCAGACAATGCCAAACAGAATTGGAGGACAAGTAATGATACGCCTCTGTACGAAGCATTCGTATGTCTAACGAGAGCTGTATTGGGGGTTATATTGAAAATGAGTTTGTGCTCATGGGGGCGGGCTCTCCATCACGTTTGGCGCTTGCTGTAAATACATTGTTAATTGAACAAGAATTGTATGATAATGTATTGATTAAAAACCGATCCCGCGATAAGTGATAATTTCGATGGAAAAAAGTTCGAATAAAATTTTTAATTTCCACCCTAGTGATCGTCGAAGTTTGCACTACATATCATCGTTTGATCAACTTCATCAAAAATGAGCCGAAGTAGTGTTGAAACTGCAATATTCTATGCATTTCTTCTAATTGAGACTATGAAAAAAAAAAGATGAACCGAATACCCGAACAAAAAGTGGACGAATAAACAACATATAAGGCCAATTCCAGAAAGAAAAGTTGTTAGCTCTCCTTCTACACCATCATCATAAGAAATTGATCTGGAAGATAGTGATTCACCCATAAAATAGAAAGAATAATCCATCTCGAACAAGGAAAACGAAAAGTTAAGAATAACCAAGAAGCAAAGTGAACTGAAAACCCATCCACAAGAAAACCAGTTTCAGGAACGCCAAAGACTTACATCTCTAGTAGGACTCACAGGGGTCTGAGAAAGTAGCAAATAAAGAATTTTGTTGATACCTAAGGTAGGCTTTTAATACTTACTTTTATTTACTAGCGCGCATTGCTACTGTTTTATCACTTAGGTATACAATATCACTCATGATAAACTCTCTTATAAAGAATCTCAATCTGACTCAATGTATTAGTTCATTGGTGATGGATCACTATATTTATAATTTTATTTGAAGCAAATAGAGACTTATGTTCTAGATAGTGTGGATGAATTGAATGAATTTTACAGTATAAATAGTTCGAATGAAAATTTCAAGCTGATCCAAAACAATATTGGAACTATTGCAAAAAAATAGATGAATTTGAATTTTTTTTTTGAAGCAGTTTCAGTCATCATCCGATTGCATTGTTCTCACGGAAATTCGCTCTGTAAAAGAGGTAGAAATGTATAACATTGATGGTTATATCACATTCTATTTGATAAAATTATTGAACTGAATGGCTCTTTTACGATTGAACTTAAACTCTACATTGATAACGAATATGTGATCATGCATGCCTCATATAGGGTCCCAGTGTCCTCCGTACGGGTAATTAGATCTGGGTAAGGGGGCGTGTTCTACAACGCCAGCTCCGTCGTTCACGCTTACCCTTCGTCGTAACGACCGGCTGGCCTCCCAGACCTGAGTCCTAGGGATTTCAGGTCTCACCTTCGGTCTGGGTACGACGGGAGGTTGGTGTACCTCGATAAGCCCTTCTTCCTGTCGTGATCGATGGGTATTATTTGTGGACTGGCCCTGCCATGAAGCCACCCCCAACTCTTGGCCGACTTCAGGCCTACTGGCCTACTCCTGGTCTACCTCCACCCCCTAGTTATTTCGCTACAGCGCCAGTTCTGGGCTCGTTCTGGACAAACGGCGCACCTGTGCGATGATTGTTCTGTTCCCAGGGACCACTAAAGGTTTTCCTCTGGGGGCATCGCGACGCCTGGCGTCGGAAGTCCTGAAGTTCATCGTCCATCACCACGTCTTCATAATAACGGCACTCTTGACTCTCTGTCGGGGTTAACAGTGGCGATGACTCTCGAAATCGCCAGTTCTACAGGATGGCTGTACACCCTGTATACGTCTGGTTTTGGGGTTACAACAACCAACTAACTAACTTTTCTCGGACGTTCGCATATTTATATAAAATAGGCGAACTCTTCCCGTAACATCATCCGATGCCTTTCGACCAATCAACGGTCTCTAAAATCGTGTACACCAAATTCCGATGTCTGCAATCGAAAAAAAACTCATTTAATATGGATTTGCCAGCGTTTACGACCCTGTTTTTATGCAGGCGCTGGTCTTTGAAGTACACTCGCCGCGCTTGAACTTTTCATTGATGTCCACTTGCCGCTGTTTGCATCTCATTTCGTTTATGCGTCGTCTCGCTCCTTCAATGTGCGTCGTGCGATACACGAACTCAAACATACTTCGGTCTTGCTCGGCTATCAGTTACGTTTAATTACGTTGGACCTCAAGCAGTTGTGGTTCGTTTCCATGTGTTGTGAGAACAGTTTACTGACAGCTTGGTTGAATTACTCTTGAATATGAAATAACACCCACAAATAAAGAACAGTTCGATTCTTACTATGTGTTGTTTTATTTAATAGACAGCAGGTAACAACGTGTTGTAACTGAAGTGAAAACTGAACTAACTACAATACATAAGTCATAGTATTTATATATGAGAATACTATGCGTAATAGTTGTCATCAAAGAATATTCTGGAAGAAAATATTAGTAAACAATGATGAATAACATGATAAATTATATCTAAGCACACTCATGCAGATAAAGTTTGGTTTAAAAGCATAGTCATCAATAAGCAAAGATAACGTTCGGAATAAAAAATAACGTTCGGAATAAAAGAGGTGTCAGCATTTTCCGGGTTTTATCTCTGTGGATAGTCCAGGGAAAGTGGGCAAAAAATGTAATTCCTCCCCTCTTAAGTGGAAGACTAGGGTTGGTCTGGTTGGCTGGTCTGATCATCCATATCTAAGTCGTCTTTGGAAGTTTTATAGTATAATTGTCTTCGTCGAAGAAACTGGATCAAGTTGTAGGGATAACATGTTTTATAGTAACATGTCACTAGGATATAGATGGCAAGGCTGACCATTAAACAAATGATAACAATCATCCATACAGGTAATGATTGTCCAGGCATTGGCACTTGGGATAAATTAACTTCATGATGAGTATTCATCTTGGAAGTCAGATGTTGGAGTTCTTCTAAGTCCATTTTATTAAGTTTCACTTTGATAGTCCTTGTAGAAAGAGTGGAAATATCCAGTGATGGAAGTTTTATCACTGTCATTGGGGATAATTCGTCGTTTCC